CAAACATACAGGCACACACACATATGCATAAATAAAAATAAAATAAATATTTAATGAAATGCAATGGTGACTATACTGAAGAAAATTCATGTATCATCTTACATGGTTACTTCTTGTATGACAAGAACAACCAAAATAGACTTATTTAACAAAACTCCCGGCACAATACAACTTCATTAACTGTGATGCTCATACTGGGCCTCAGATGGCTGGTTTATTCCTCCTATACACCTGCACGCCGTATCTTTTGACCTACAGTCTCTGGCTTCCTATCCCCTTCCCCCTCCTGGTCATCCTGGCTTTATTCTTCATCTCTTGTCTATTTGACCTTTTGGTTTTGGTTTTGGTTTTAGACTTCATTAGATCATGCAATATTTTCTGTGTTTTGGTTTAGTTCACTGAGGTTCTCTTTTGATCAAACCTCTTGAGGACTGTTTAAATAGAAAATTTATTTTGTATTCCATAACCCTTGTGGAACCCTTTGATGGGTATATGCAAAAAATGTCAACCTAGCTCTCCAAATAAAAGCCAAAGCAAAATATATGTATTCCATTTCTAGAATATGAGCAAAGCACTGTACTAGACCTTTATTAGCATAGTGTATGGGCTATAGACACTCAATATATGTATGAAAGAACATTAGCATTTGGCAATAACTGAAGTCAAAATTAAAGAAGACTTTGGGCCTACTCGTGCCTGTAACCTCAGGACTGAAGAGCCTCCTGGAGGATTGCTGTGAGTTCAAGGCTGGCCTAGGATACATAGTGAATTCCAGGTCAACTTGGGCTGCAGTCTGAGACACTGTCTTAACAACCTCTTAAAAAAAGAAAAAGAAGAAAAGAAGGAAGGGAAGGATAGGCTTTTAATTACTTCAAGTGGAAGCACTGTCAGGTCCTGGTGAACTGGAGACTTCTGTGAACCGTTGGTGAGAGAAGCGTGCCCTCCTGACCGGCCTGTCTCCCACTCCATTGGTTCTCCTGGCTGGCAGCGCTGAGGCCATTGGGGAAAGGTGTGTTGAGGAAAGTTAGAATGCAGTTTGGCCCACAGTTGGAAACTAAATATGAAAATTGGAGTGAATCTAAATTTCACAAAGAAATTGACCTATGCTGGGTTGGATAATGTTGGAATCATTTGGCTGGTGATGCTAATCAGTCACCATTTTGTTTTGAAATGGAAGCCCAGTAATCAAATAAGTTTAGTAAAATTCCTTGTGTTTACAGAGATCTAGTCAAAATGTTCTACATTTTACTATTTAAGCATCCTAGTGGAAGTTGTGTTTTGACTTTCTAATTGAATATTTGCTTACATGTGTGTGACACAAGATCCCTGAATGAAGCAAAATAGAGTCTATCATACTTCCAATTTTTGTAAAGTCTTGGAATTCTGATTTCTCTGTTTCCAAAAACTCCAGATTGCCAAAAAAACATAGATGTATTGTTATGTGTCTGTTACTTGCCTTGGCCAGCTTACTGAACTCTGCAGATCTAATCATTTATTATAAGAATGAGCATGAAAAGAACAGCACTGGTTTAGATGAAGAATTCGGGGTAAGTCAGTTGTCTTCGGCATTCACACTGGGAACATTGTTTGGCTCTCCTTCGCTTCCTCACTCCTCCCCCACTCAACAAGAATGAAACATGATGATGTACAGTACTTGCTGTCCACCCTACAGGGTTGTTGAGAGACTCAAGTTAACATATGGGATAGCAGAACTGGGTAGAGTGTTCAGAGGTCTCAGTTTGAGTTCTGACATTACCACCTACACTGAGGTCTTGGACAAGTAACTTCTAAGCCTTAGTTTCCTCATCTGTTAAATGGGGTAACACAATTACATAATGTATAGAGCATTTAAGATAAGGGTAAGTCTGGTGAGTACTGTCTGTGTTCCAGTTTCCTGATAACATACATGAACGTGTTCCCTACAGGTATGTGGTAGAAGCTCTGCTTGTACGCTTCTCCAGTCCAAACTTTCTCTCCCAGTGATCCTTACTTCCTAATCATTTGCCAAGTGGAGAGTTCTTACCAAAGATAGTAGCCCTGAGGGATAGGAAAGAGGCCCATTTGTAGGATCTGCGGCAGAAAGGAGCATAGGCAGGGCACTGAAGTGAGGCACCAGGCCTGGAGAGGTTGCGGGCAGGGCACTGAAGTGAGGCACCAGGCCTGGAGAGGTTGCATTTGGTTGGGCCTCAGGGAAGATCTGTTATCTTACATTCTGCATGCATTTCTGGTGGACTTTATCTGGGGAAAGGGGAGGGCAGCCAGAAGGAGCGAGAAGAAACTCATTAAGTATACCTTCTTCTCCCTCAGATCAGCTCCATCTTGCTGCTGCCTCAAACTCTTGAAGAATTCATATTTTCTATTTGTTATTATAACTCTTCTGATTGTCAGCAGTGATTGCCATTACCGTATACAAGTAAATATACGGTGACTAAGTGGTTGACTTATTTTCTTGACAACAATCCCATAAGTAAGATTTTATTATTCTTATTTACAAGTAAATGACATGAAGGTAAATCAGAGAGAATAAAATATTTGCCAAAGTTAGTAAATGGTATTGCTGAGGCTCAAACCTGAAGCTGTCTGACTCCAGCTCCTAGTCTATTTCCTTCTGATGTACTTAATTATTGACAATTACAGTTCAAATGCAACAAAGCATGGGTGAAAAATCTATGAGTCACAGTTTCTTATATCCACCCAGCACCATGCCAGTGAAACCCATAGAATAATCGATCAACGAACACCCTGTGAATGTCTCACTAGATCACTTTTTTTTTTTTTAACTCTTTTGGAGACAGGGTCTCCCTGTAGCCCCAGCTGTCCTGGAACTCACTATGTAGACCAGGCTGGCCTTGAACTCACAGAGATCCACCTGCCTCTGCCTCCCGAGTGCTGGGATTAAAGGCGTGCGCCACCACGCCCGGCATAGATCATGTTTTAAGATGATGAGAAAAGATGCTATCCAAACTGCTGTTTCGCTTCAGTCATCTCAGTTCTAATGATTCAGAAAACTATAGTTTCTAAACAGTAGAAACACCTCTAGACTCTTTTGAGGCAGGATAGTATTGGTATTGGCATTTTCAAGAATGCCCAGTGAGGGGCTGAAGAGATGGCTCAGTAGTTAAGGGTACTTGCTGCTCTTGGAGAGGACCAGAGTTTGGTGCCTAGCACCCACATGGCAGCTAACAACTTTCTGTAACTCTATTTCCATGGGATCTGATGCCCTCTTTTGGCCTCCATGGGCACTACATGCATGTGGTACACTTACTTCCAGGCAAAACACTCATACACATAAAATAAAAATAATAACTAAATAAATAAATAAAAATTAAAGAATGTCCATTGTGTAGACCCTCGATGTCCTCGGAATGCCCTCCTGCCCTCCCTTGGGACCTTAGATGAGGGAAGATAGAGAGGGAGAGAATATCCCTACCTGGGTCAGTCTGTGCCCAGACACCCTACTTTCACCATACTCTTCCCCGCTCAGTGAAATACCTCCTTTCCTTCCCCGCCTCTACACTGCCTTCCTCAGACCAAGGAGGCAATGTGTATGTAGTTTGCTTATCACCTCCCGGGCTTTCCAACAGACAGAATCTTGTGTACACCTTGCCCTCGTTGCTTTGGAAAACTAATTTGGGTTTGTAGTTAGCATACCAAAGCACACATGAAGAAGTCCCACACTGTAAAACAAACTTTAATAAACTGTGAGAATTTGCTGAGTGCCTGTCTGAGATGTCTTCTGTTACTTCAAGATACACTCTTACATGGTATTTTCACATTATAAAGAAGGCTTCCTTCAGCTTAAGATAACTTTTTGTAACTACTCTTAAATAAAAATGATAAAACTAAGTGTAGACTCATAGCTAGTTTGAATTTTTAAAATTTTTATCAGAAAAACAATGGTATTTACTATGAGAATATGCTAAATATATTGTTAATCACATAACACAATTATGAGTTGTATGAAAGGCATGGGTTAAATTTCTTCCTTTCTCTTCTACTGACGTGATTTGAATTGCATGTGATAAGAGAATACTTTGATTTTGAAAGCACATCAGACTGCTGTGGTCATTCTAGCAACCTGCCCGAGCAAACACCAAATAAAGGTCACGTGGTGTTTGCCTCATGGGAAGAACTTAGGCACTGAACATTTCCCCCTTTTTGTGAGTCAGTCAAAACATGAGAGAAAGCTATCCTCTGTGCAGTACCTGCAAAGAGGAAACAATCACTCATACATTTTTAAAACTTCATGTGAATGGTTGTAATTGTATTGTGATGAATTGTCAATGCAGTGAACTCATTAGGGAGCTCTAAAGGCAGCCACAGAATGGATTCCAGCAGTCAAGGTATTTCAACCTTAGGTAATCAACCAGAGTGCTGGAAAAGAATAAATAAAGGTAATCTAGTACTTCCAATACCATTGGTTGATAAACTATCACAGCAAGTGGTCCACACACTGATTGCTCACCTTTGTGAAGAGATGCATAATAAACAGCTGTTTATCCATGGTCAGTTTCTAGTGCAGCGGGAGTTTAAATCATTGAGGCAATGAATTTGAGACCAATTTTAACATTAGCTTGACATCATTAGAAAAGTAAGCATGCTGCATTGAAGAGCCAACATAAATTCCTTTCTGATGACATGTAGTGATGGATTACTAACATATCTGTATGGCTAATCCCTCCTTTAGAGTGGCTAATCCAGAATTCGATACAATTATTTACATGTTGAAAGTGATGATAATTATTATATGACATAAGTTTCATCAACTCCACTAAAGATGCTTTTCCTTTGCCAACAATTCCTTATGAAGTCTATTGTTATGCATAAAGTATTGGGGGGAGTGGGGAATTCTAACTTTTGAAAACACAGATAAAAGCATGATTATTCATGTTTGGGAAAATAGTTCCTAGTAATTCTAGCTTGAAAGCAAGTTACTGTGGTGATTTGCTCTGTTCCACCACCCCAAAGGTGATGTCTCTGGCTTTGCTTCTCTCATGCAGCAGCCATCCACTTTGGCTTATGCAAGACAAATTATTAAGAAAGAAGGCTTGGGACTCCGGGGCCTCAACAAAGGACTTACGGCGACTTTGGGACGTCATGGAATTTTCAACATGGTTTATTTTGGCTTCTACTACAATGTCAAAAGCATTATCCCAGCCAATAAGGTAACTATATCATGCTCTAAAATCTGTGGGGAGGAAATTCTACCAATGATAATAGGTTCGTCTGTAGAGTTTATCATGTCCCATCACATTCTCATCTGTTATCCATTTGACCCCAACGTTAGCTATATATTGAGTGTTGTTATTCCTCTTTCAAATCCAGAAAGTGAAGTTTAGGAAGAGCAAGTATATTGCCCAGGATCTCATAGAAAAGCTGAGCCTGAACAGTCTGATGCAAAAGTTGATCTACGGGAACAATATGTCATTTAGACAGGAATGTTTTCCATTCATCACTAGTAGACATTTCTACAAACTATGTATCATTTAATTTCTCTCATTCCCAATATCAACTCTATTGTTCAGACTCTGAAAAAAACAGTTCATGTAAGGTTAGAGGACTGCTTACTCCTCCGTTTCTCCATTTCTGGAAGTACTCATAAAATGTACATGATGAACTGGATTATATAAGTTGTTCACACTAATTAAATATATTTTATTACATTTATGACTATTTTAATGTATATATTATTACAACAAAATGAATTTGGTTCTATTTAAGAAAGAAATTCAGAAAAATCAATAAAAATACATATAATACATGCTACTGAATGCTTATAAAACCCATAAGTTAAAAAGACGTGGTGGTGGTTGGAGGAATAATGGGAAAAGGAGCCCAAACGGTAGAGGGATAAGAGAGGGGAATGGTGGACAGGATCACCACACCTTCTGTACGTGTATGCAGTTGTCAAGCAGAAAATTTTTTTGTTGAATTTTGAGACAGGATTTCCCTGTTGCCCTAGCTACTCTGAAACTCTTGTTATGCATACCAGACTAACCACAATCTCACAGAGATCTGTGTACCTCTGCCTCTTGAGTGCTAGGATTAAAAGTGTGTACCACCATGCCCGATTAAAAATAAAGCTTTTTAAAAATGAAGAAATTGGGCTCATGCTTATAATCTCATCACTCTGGAAGCTGAGGCAGGAGGATAACCACGAGTTTGATGCCAGCCTGGGCTACATAACAAGACCCTCTCTTAAAAACAGCAATAAGTAAATAAATAACACAAGAACAAACTTCATTCTACAATTAATCAATACACTTAAGTTATTCAATGTCCCACATGATTGCTAAAGGCCAGAAGCATAGCTATTCCTTTATTTCTTAAAAACTATGGAAGGGTTCATTGACCTTGCCAGTTTGGAATTCAACTTTATCGCTCATCTGAACACAATGTTTTATTTCAATCAACAGTTGAATTAAGAACCTCCCTCTACGCTGGTCATGGTGGTGAACACCTTTGATCCCAGCACTTAGGAGTCAGACAGAAGCAAATCTTTATGAGTTCAAGGCCAGCCTGGTCTACAAAGTGAGTTCCAGGCCAGCTGAGGCTACAGGGAGACCCTATCTCAAAAAGACCTTAAAAAAAAAAAAAAGAACCTCCATCTGCACCAAGCACTCTGTAAAGTACGCCCTGTTCTCAAAAGTTTTCTTAGGGAGACTTGGAAAAGGCCACTGAAGAAACAAACATAATGAATATGCAGCATTGGGTTTTGATGTACATCATGCTGGGAGTCACTCATTAACAATGTTATTTGTAACCATGTTTGAAAAATATTTTATAAATTCTCAGATTTGGTTTTTTCTAAATTTGAAGAGAGAAGAGGGCATCAGGAATCCTCTGGAACTGGAGTTTCAGATGGTTGTAAGCCACCATATGGGTAGTGGGAATCAAACCCAGGTCTTCTGTAAGAACAGCCAGTACTCTTAACCACTGAGCCATCTCTCTAGCCCCTAAATAAAATATTTTTAAAAAAGAATCCTACCCCATCCATCTTAGAAGAAAGGCTGTAGCAGATCTAATCTTTTCAAACATGAGACAAAATCTGAAAACTGTGATGATCTTTCTCCCAACCTTTGATTGTAATCCAGTAATTTGTTTTCTAAATCAATGAAACTCAATGCTTCTGACTCAAAGTATCAGAAGAGTCTTGTTTTCATGTATAAGCTCCTCAAAGAATAGATAATTGCATTTTTTTCTGTTAAAAATATAATTTAACTCTTTTCCAGAGTTGTATATTATTAATAATTGGAAGGACATTTTTTAAAAAATCAAATACATGTTCTGACAATAAAACTTCTATAAGTGAAAAAAAATCCCCATTTTTTTTAATGTGGAATAAATCACCAATGTTTAAAAGCAATTTTTTTTTTTAACTAACATTTCAACCAAGGAGGAAGATTTTAAAATTCAGGAATATGTGACTATGTGACTATCCCTCCAGGACACTAACATCTGCACTGTCCCATTCCACATTCCCATTTATAAAGCACATACAAAAATACAAGTTCATGCGGGCTAGAGAGATGGCTCGGTGGTTAAGAGCACTGGCTGCTCTTGCAGAGGGCCCGGGTTCAATTCCCAGCACCCACATGGTGGCTACGCACCATCCTTAACTCCAGTTCCAGGAGAATCTGAAGCCCTCTTCTGACCTCCGCGGCATTGCATGACACGGGTGCACTCACATACATGCAGGCAAAACATTCATACATATCAAATAAAAACAATAAATAAAAATATTTTCAAAGTATATATATATATATGTTCATAAGGTCGTTTTCTGCCTTCTTTTTTCACTGCTATCCCCAGAGATTAAAATGGTGCCTGGTGCAAAGCAGGTCTTTAGTAAACTTATATGAAATAAAACAGAGGAGAGAAGAAGGCGATGAATGGAGATTGTTTCCTTTCACTAGATACCAAAGAGATATGCTGGCATTTGGGAGAGTCTCTCCATTCATTGACACTAGTTCATAGGACACTGGGAGAAAACTTTTGTCTGAAGGACATAGAACTAGCACAGGTCTTATGCTAATCAGACAGGATTCCAAGAAAGGTTATATATATAACGCAATAGGGTCTTTATATTCAGAAAGTGAAATGTTTGGTTTTGGAAATGATTCTTAAAATGGAGATTTTCACATTGCCAAGATAAGTTTTCCCCATGTCATAAGACTGACAAAGCAGACAGTTTGGCAGTAACCAAAATCCTGATGACTTCAGCAGTGTAGATGGGATAGCACTGTGTGGCAACCTTCAGAGGACAGGACAGAAAGGAATGCCATGAACTGCTTTCCCTTGGCTCAGCATGTCCAGTATCTGCCCAGTTTTCCCAATTCTAGTCACGGAAACACCAATCAGCATTTAGCCAAATGGATTTTTCTGTTACCTAGTATTTCCTACACTGAGAGTAGACTAATAAATAAATGCTTAATTTATTAATCATGACCCTAGAGAATACTTCCAAATTTTTAAATAAAAATACATTTTAGGGGTTGGAGAGATGGCTCAACAGGTAAGAGCACTGACTGCTCTTGCAGAAGACCTGGGTTCGATTCCTGGCACCCACATGGTGGCTACGAACCATCCTTAACTCCAGTTCCAGAGGAATCCTAAGCCCTCTTCTGACCTCCGCAGCATAGCACAACATGAGTGCACTCATACACATAAAATAAAAATAATAAATATTTTTTTAAAATACATTTTATTCACTTTGGCATTAGAATTATCCTTTTTTTGAAGAGGAGTCTTACTGTATACCCTACTCTGGCCTTGAACTTACTATGTAAACCAGTCTAGCTTTAAACTCATGATCCTGCTGTCTGAGGTACTTGAATTAAAATGGATTTTTAAAATTGTGGTATAATTCTTTTCAAGCTGAATACCTCACTCTAACACACCCCATCACAAGTAGCATATAATAAAGAAGCTGTGAAATATGTCATGCCATTATTTTAAAAAGTAAATCCTGCATGGCTTGGTGGCTCACGTGTAATCCCAGAACTTGGGAAGCTGGGGCAGGAGAAGCACAGCAAATTTGAGACCAGGTGGGATACACAGTAAATTCTAGCCTAGCCTGGTCTACAGAGTGAGATTGTCTCAAAAAATTAAAAAAATGAAAGTCAAATGAATCCTACTTTTAGTTCTAAATGGAGAAAGCCAATATTCCTGCCTATTTGACTATTAACCATTTAAAATCATAAACCTTTGACAGAGCTGAAATCTGCCATGTTCTCTCAGAATTTCATTTCCACACTTTAGTTTCCAAGCTAAAAAGTTTCCAAGCTAAAATAACTTACTCGTTTTCATTTAATGATCTTGGCACTTGGGCCCCTATATTGGAGAGTAGGAGAAATTCTGTGCATAAAGTCTGGGGTCAGTAGGTCTGAAAGTGACTCTAATATGTGCTGAGTGCTTAATAGGTGGCAGGCCTTGTGCTCGGTACTGGGGGATGCGATAGCGGGAAGACGTCATAGAGCTTTTGAGGTTAGGGAAGTAGCAAAAGAAAGTAAGAAAACAAACACACACGTATGAATGATATAAAGCTTCCAGTCAGGAAGGACTTCTTCCCCGAGGAAATGGCATTGGAGCTGGCAAATAAGTTAGTGACAGTCACAGTTTGTGACAGAGCACAGGCATTTCAGAACACATGGAACATATAGTGCCAAGACTCTAAAGAGAGAAGGTGTTGGTGGCCCTGGACTAAATGAAATACACCCCCATGTAATGAATGCGAAAGGATATGGTCAGGTATCTGGTTCTGTGAGGTTATACTGGCCATTATTGGGCACGCTGAGGATTCTTGTCTTTACCTAAAAAAGCACTAATGTCTTGACACAATTTCTGTTACTATAGCAAAATGTTTAAGACTGGGCAGTTTGTAAAGAAGATGTTTATTTAGCTATAGCTCTGAAAGATGGGAGGCTCAAAATCAGCCATCTAGGTCTGGTGAGCTTTACCCATTGCCTAATAATGCAGAAAAACAAAACAGACTGGCAAGTCAGTACATGTGGAAGAGATGGGGGATGAAAGGGTCCAGACACTTTACAACAGCTCATGCTCATGGTAACTAACCGCCTTCTCAAGAACTACATTAATTCCTTTCTGAATGCAGAACTTCCAGGATGACACAATCACTGAAAGGCCCATCTCTCAACACTGTTAC